TTCTCAATGTGGACTAGATTAATCCAGACAAGAGGAAGAGTCTTTAAAACAGTTTCAGATTTGTCAAGCGTTTGTTCTGTTTATGAAAATACAAAAAATAGAGATTTCATTGCTTTGTCTCTTTCCAGACCACATTGGACCAGTCAGACCAAAAGCCACTATATTCAGCCTTGTTAAATCTGGACTAGATTGTCCCAAACAAACAGAATTTAAACAGGCTTTATTAAAGGTCAAATGTTTAGTAATATTTCTACAGCTGGTAACACGGTGTGACGGTAGATCAGTGTTTTTCTGTTTGCTGTCATGTTGGCTCATGTCACCTCCTACCATCACAACGTAGAGCAGGTCTGGTCCCTGTGTTAATAACCTGCTGTATAATCAAAGCTAGATTAAGGCAGGTGAGCTGAGTGTGGATCTAACAGAAGCTGATGTTATCCAGCTGTGTTACAGACCTGTTAACACACAGTGCTAAAATCAGAGCTAACTTAGAAAGTAAAGATTTACATATGATGGATTAGTTTCAGTGGCAGTTTTAAATTTCCCGTTTTAAGTATCCTTGTAAATTCACCAATTTGAATTTTCATTTAGTGTTTAGGTTTCAATTTATTAGGAACAGCACGTCAGACTGCTCCAACAGCGCTGTGATAATCCCTAATCTATGTTCATGACAGTTTCACAGGTGTTGGTTCACCTGGTCTCTGTGCTGCTGTAGATCTGTGTTATACAAACAGGTGTGTCTATGGTTTATCCTGTACTCATTGGAGTGAACTGGGTGGACCCAAAAAAGAGGAACAGAGCACCAAGAAAAGAAACCCTGGGTCCCGCTGCCTCCCTCCCAGGTGCATGCTGGTCCTGTACCTGTTTTCCTGTTATAAAGCCTCAGGTGTCCACAGTGCTGCTCCTCTGTTACACAATAAACCAACAGATTAAATACACAACTGGAAAAACAAGGCAGACTGAATGACTAACTACAGAAGGAAAAGACTGGAGTAAACTGGTCTAACTTCATACAAATAGATAAACAAAACAACAAAGAAGCTAATAAACTAATAAACAGCTCCACCTGCACTGTAAATGTGCAGAGGATGGTTTGTTGCTCAAAGCTTTTAATCACAGTAAATATTGTGACATCTGCTGGACAATTCTTATAACGTCATCTGAACTAACTGCTGTCATCTTTAATATGTCGTCAATAAATATGACAAACGATGTTTACAAACACTCATCAGCATCACACTGAATCACAGACATCACAGTTTACACAGACTGAAAACATCTGTAATGTTGCTGTGGTGCCACTGAAGTATGAATCACTGTTGGACCGCGCTGTATATACATATACCTATATATACTGTGTGTGTATAGGTATATGTATGTATATACAGTATATACATTTCTCCTGCCACAGTTTCACATATATATCCACATATAACCACACACTCTCTGATCAGCTGATGGGAGTGTGTAGGAGCTGCTGAGATTTCAGAGCGGAGACAGAACTTCAGTTTGTTCAGTTTCTGAGTTTGTGATGATAATTTAGTTTTAACAGCCATAAACTGTATTTGTCATTTTACTGTCATCACTCAGGTTATCCATGAAAGAGAGAGATTTTTTGGTGTTTTCTTTCTCTCTCGTAGGGTAACGCAGCGTGTGTGTGTCTGATTATATCGGTTATTGGCAATTTCACAGGGTGACGATCAAACGATCAGAGTTGGAATGGTCTTTTTTTTTTTAAATGTAAAAATGATGTACATGTGATTTTTTTGTTGTAACAACAATGTTGTGACACATTTTACATTCATCAAAAAAACTGCAGCTCCTGTGATTTGGATATTGAACTTGGCCATTTTGAGATTTGGATTGTATTTAGATTAATGGTCCAGCTCTTATACACACACACATACACACACACACATATATATATATATATATATATATCATCCTGCTGTGATGTGGACAGAAGTTTTAGATGTTTGAAACACAGTTGGAGGTGCAGTCTAATTACTGATCTCTTATTTAACCTTTTAACAAATCTGTTAATATGCACATGATACAGAAGCTGGACGTCAACATCATCATCAGTGTGTTTTATGGCTCAGAGTCTTGATGTGTGTGATCAGGTCAAACTCAGACACATGAATGATGACAGATGCTGATTGATTGATTAATAATGATGTTTCTCCATCAGACGAGGTCAGAACGCTGCTGTGAACCAGAACCTGGACGTGATAAGGAAACCCAGCTGAAGCTGTGAGTACGACACACGAAGCACACACACACACACACACACACACACACAGTGACAGCAGCTGCTCTCTCACCTGGTCGTTAAGGTGTGTGTGCATCCACCTGGTGTCGAAAGGCCTGCTTTCGTTTAACCGTTAATTCTGCTCATTCGAGTCTGTCCTGTAAGAAACGAGCCCACAGCTCGTCTGTGCAGCAGGTTATTATGACATCATAATTAGGTTTTGTTGCTAGGCGACATCTAGTGGTCGTAGTAATGATGACAGGAGCGAATGGAAAAGTATCGATGACGTAGAATAAAGAGAGAGATGAAGTCCAGGTCAGGAGGAGGTAACCAAGCCATGACCGTTATATATATATATATCAGTGGCGGCTGCTGGTCTTATAAGGAGGGGAAGCTCATTTTCGGCCTACATCATAAAATGTGTCCGTTTATTTATATGTAAATTCGCAGAGTGACAGAAGAGAGTCGCCAAACACAACGCTAGTCGTTTTTAACAAAGACAAAGTGGCTGAGGATCAGTAACGTCTCCAGATCAACTCCGAACAACAGAATGAAAAACTTGAAAAATGCTCCAGTGGATGCTTAAACTTCAAGATCGCTGATTCGCTCATTTCGCTGTCAATCAAAAAGGGACTCAGCCTCAGACAGACCATCCAATCATCATGCAGAAGCCGAGCGTCCGGGCCAGCCCACTGTCCCATAGACCCCCAGAGACGCTGAGCGCCCGATGGGCGGGACAAAGCCCAGCATTTATCCAATGACGTCTAGTTTCGCTGCAGTGGAACAACCCACTCTGTGCTTCCCACTGAAGTCAGTAGACGCTCGGCGTCTACACTGTGTAAAGCGCTGTGGCGCTGCGGGGATGAATGAGAAGGAAGTCGTGTCGGTTACCTGTGATAAGTAGCTGATTCTGAACAAAAGATGAACGTGTTCTAGCGCATATTTAGTCAATGAAATGTTCACACAACAGCACATACTTGACCACTTATTCTGTTGACATCTTAGGGGAAGCTGAGCTTCCCTTGCATCTTAGAGCAATCGCCACTGATATATATATATATTTTATATATTATATTTTGTGTATTTATTGTGTTATCTGAGTTTTTTATTTATTTTTTGTTTTTCAGATGAATTGTATTTAAAGTTCGAGGTAGACTGTTTAAGTTCAATAAATGCTGGTGTTTGAGTAAATAATGGTGTTTAATAATGACGATTGTACGATGGAGCAGCTCGTTTAGTTTGACCCAGGTCAGTGTTGTAGTGTTGAGGCTGTGAAGGTCTCCTGCAGAGCTGATGCCATGAAGCACAGATGGACTGTTTACTGCTAATTAGCTCATGTTAGCATGCTAATCTGGTGAACCCTGTTTAACATGAGCATGTTAGCATCGTTGACCTGGTTTCCTGCTGTTTTCAGAGGCAGAGCTGGAGCCCCCTACTTTCTAAAAACTAAAGTTTCTTCACATCTGAGGAGCTTTGCATTCTGGGAGGACAGTGTCAGTCCAGTGACATACATCCTGGTGTTTGAACAAAACTTTATTTATCATATTTACGTGTAAATGTCCCGAACACTATGGTAACGGTGTGGTGCTGTGTGTGTGTGTGTGTGTGTGTGTGTGTGTGTGTGTGTGTGTGTGTGTGTGTGTGTGTGATAAGCCCTGTCATGCTAGCCGCATTATTCTGTCGACACGCCTTGTACGGTAACTCAGCGTGTGTGTGTGTTTGTGTGTGTGTGTGTGTGTGTGTGTGTGTGTGTGTGTTTGTGTGTGTGTGTGTGTTTTCTTGGCTCAGAGCCAAACACAAGGCGCCACTTTATGAGTATGATGATCTCACGTCGACCCACCTCCACACACTGCGTATTCAGCAGTGTGTGTGTGTGTGTGTGCGTGCGTGACTTGGCGCATGTGTAAAAGAGAGAGTGTGTTTATAAGAGGTTTAAAGGAGCAGTCTGTGCCTGTTTGTTGAACAGGTGTACAATCAGGTGGAGCTCAGGTGGTGTCAGATATTGACCAACAGCTGTGGGATCATGGGAGTTGTTGTTTGGATTCAGAGTCTGAGCGACGCTGTACGGAGGACAGAGACTCAGGGCTGAAGTTGATGCTAACCTTTGTTCTGACTGTTTCTCTGATCACTCATGAACCAGATGTTCAGCAGGTTTTTACCAGAAGCTGAACGATCCACAGAGGAGTCCTCCTCTCCACAGCAAACACACAGGGGATTAAACCAGGAGAAACTCTGAATAAAACAGTTTGACTTTAGACATCAGAGATTGAGCCACGCTCCTCAGAGACACAGGACGTCTCCAGCAGCTGCAGCTGAGCAGCTTGTTTCTCTGAGAACGTCCCACGACTAAAATCATCTGCTTCAAACGTAGAGATGAAAACCACCAAAAGAGTCTGTGGCTTAAAACCAGATAAAAGTGGATGTTGAGCTTCTGTCAGACAAACACACTGACACATGATCATAGAGGAGATGATGTCATCAACAGGCGACCAATGAAACGTCACCATGATTAAAATCACAGATTTCTCTGGTTTAAGAATTGATGGGAACATTTGTGATGATGTAAGAACACGACTCAACAACATGTAGAAGATATAGAAGTTTCAGATTTGAACTTTAACAGAGAGTTTAAATGAAACTGTGAGTCGAGGTGTTTGTTTCAGCTCGACTCTCGCTTCTTTCTCCAGCAGCTAAATTCTTCTGATCAATAACAAACACTGACGGAGAATACGAAGGTTTATTATCACAATTATTCACAACTTGTTTCATCCAGAGAATAAATATTCATATGAAAGTAGAATGAGGAGTGACGTCATACAATCATTAGATCAATCTGTACAAGTCTCTGTGGAGCGGGGTGGTGGTTCCTGTTCACCTGTTCAGGTGGTTATTCTCAGTATTTCCTCCGTTAGCTTCAGCTCTCAGTTCTTGATGAGCTGCTGAAACATAACGATTTAACACAATGTCAGATATTCAAAGAGATCAGACGACCAGCCTCCACTGCTGCAGTTCCTCTATCGTCCACCAGGCGGTGCTCCAGGAAAATGTCAGCTCTGACATGAAACAGAAAAATCCCTCCACAAACACAAGATCATGAGTTTTCTGAGTCTCAGCATTCGGGACATCAGAGGCCTGTGTGGAGTCTCAGTCCACAGACGGGAACTGATCCGTCCAGTAAACCTCTGGACATTGTCCTGGACTGTGTTGTAGTTCAATGACGTGTCTCTGTGGACGAACAGGACACACTTCAGAGGCGTCGCCCAGCCTCGCCCACACATCCAGACTTAATGTCAATTCTGTGCAGGAAAATGAATGAGGGTTTCATACGATGTTTCATTTGGCCTTTAACACAGGCCTCTTTGTTAGAGAGGCTGAGAGTCCTGGAAAAAGTGTGTAAATACACAAACACACGTCTGCAGCTCAGATTTAATGTCAGTGGAGGTTTGAACTGCAGCTGCTGAAAAATGAAAAGTTAAAGCAGATAGTTTTATATGTCATGAGTCTTTATTAAGTCATCGTTGGTGTTAACACTCTGACAGTTCAAATATTTTTCACCCAGTTAAAGATTATTTTCTTGGTGTTGTTGTATTGCTAATCACAAGGTCGGTGGTTCGATCCCCGGCCCACGTGTTGACGTGCCCTCGGGCTGTTCCATCAGTGTGTGGGTGTGATGACGTATGTGTGAGTGAATAGGTGAATGTACTGTGACTGGTCTGTATGACTAGAAAAGCTCTTTGTGAGTGGACGGTTGATAGTGAGGACGCTACGATCTTAACCACCGTCAGACCGTCCTGTCTTCACCCGGTGGAGCGCTGAGTGTTTGTTGGTGTCTCGTCTTTCTCAGTCGTCACTCATTATGTGGGAGCAAGAAAGAAAAATAGAAAAGAAAAGAGAGAGTCTTGATCTCTCGTCCTCTCTCTCTCTCTCTCTCTCTCTCTCATGGACAACCTGAGTGATGACAGTAAGATGACAAATACATTTTGTGCAGGGTGTGAACTCCGCCTCCCCTGAACACATGATCCAGCCTGCAATCAAGTTATGCTAATGTGTCGTTCATGCGTGCCGGCGATTATGTCTCTTTGATGAAGATAATGTTACACGAGTGGCGTGGCTCCTTTGAGAATAGCTGGTTGTTGTGAAGGTGGAGCTGGTGGCTGGAGCAGAGGGAGGGAGATGTCTGCTCAGTGTGAGCTGCAGGACCACAGCTCCTGCGTCGAGATCATCGTCCGTCGCCACAACAACAGGAAGACGCAGACAGGAAGCGAGGGGGAGGAGTGATCCCGGCGTGGAGACGTAGCTGTGATGTGACAGGTGTAAAGGACAGTTGAGCTTCTCTTATTCACTTTATCATCTAGAAGCAGATCCAGGTCCGGACTCTGTCTCATCAGGTCTGGATGTCTGACTCCGCCCTGATCACATGGTGCAGCTGATCGGTGACAGCAGGTGGGGGAGGGGCGGTGAACAGCTGTGCCACCAGTCTGTTTAAATGATGAAGCGGATGTGATGGTGTGGGAGGGGCTTGAATGGATGATGTCACACCTCTGCCGCGTGTTGGTGCTCAGACTCCAAGCAGGATCCCAGAGAACAGGGAGTCCTGCAGGACGCTGATGGCCGAGCCGGTGGCGTTGTCCACAAACACTGAGACGTACTCTCCAGCCTACACACACACACACACACACACAGTTTAGTGTTTGTCTTTAAAGCCTGTCGTGTCGGCAGCTTCTGATCTGAGTGTAGGTGTGTGGATCTACAGGTGTGTGTTGTACCTGTAGATACAGCGTTCCTGTCAGTAAGATGCTGAAGGTTCCTCCAGCAGCTGCCACGCCCATCACCGACTCCACAGAGCTGAGACACACAGACAGAAAACACGAGTGAGTGAGTGATGACAGGTGTGTCCGTACAGAGACGGGCTGACTGATGAGGAGGCGGCTTTTAGACAGAACCCAGCAACAGCACCACTGACTCTGAAACCATCACTTCCAATAGCTCGCGCAGCGCCATGACGGTTTGTTGCTGCGCTGGTCAAAGATCAGTCGCGTTGAACTCTGACCGCTGTGACAAACACCTGCACGGCCAATAGAAACGAGACCTGAGACCGGCTGCTTATTAGCAGGGCTAATGCTAACACACTGTAACGAGACGCCTTGTTGCTGAGAATCATAGACTGTAAACACAGCGGCGAGCGCAGGTCACATCCTGTCTGAGGGCCCATCACGCTGTAAATCATGAGCTGATCTTCAGAAGCAACAGAAACATTTCTGTGATCTGGGCTTTGTGCTCAGACTCGTGTTGGAACAGGGTCAAACACCAACAGCCTGTTTATCTGTCGCTCACCAGAGGTTCAGTCTAACCTCTAATCACTGATCGCAGCTGTGACGACTCACGCCGCTGCACAAACAGCTGCAGACACCACGTGGAAAACAGAGAAGAAGAAGAAACAGGAAGTACTCACAGGTTACTCTGACACAGAGACTCGATGCAGATCGCTGCCCTCACACTGTCTCTGAGCCGGACCTGGACTCTGTCACCAGACTCTGACACACACACACACACACACACACACACACACAGACACACACACACACACACACACACACACACACACACACACACACACAGATTATCTAATGCACATTTTCACCCAGCAGTAAAACATAACACAGAGGAGTAGTTTATTATCATGTTGTTGTCACATCTAAACAGACTGGGACAGTTTGTTTGATCGGAGAGGTGACCTCTGTCTAACACCTGGTGACAGATGTGTTACTGGTTGTTATGGTGATGAGACTGAATGGTTGTTGTGTTTCAGTGTCATTGGACATGGACCAGTGTCATCATGGCGTCTGACTTCCTGTAGCAGTAACAGTACTTTTCAGTGGTTGAATATTCAACATGTTTTTATTCCTCTGCCAGAGCAGCAGCCATTTTGTTTTCAGGTCGTCCATCTCATTCTGGACACGATATCTCAGTAACACCTCCATGAAACTTCTTCAAATTTGGCACAAACATTCAGTAGGACTCAAGGATGAACTGATTAGATTTTGGTGATCAAAGGTCAAAAGTCAAGGTCAGTGTGACCTCACAAAACTGTTTTTAGCCGTTACTCAAGACTTCACAGAAATTATGACAAAATTTCACAGAAATGTTAAATATTTTATATTTTATAAGACTCTGGATAAACAGGAGGTGACCTGAGTGAAGGAGGCAGACAATCTCTTATATTATTAGGAAACTCTTCAGAAACGTCCCTTGTTATGCAGACGATACCCTGTTGTACCTGTGAATGAAGCCAGATGGAACACGCCTCAAGGACACACACATCTGGATGAGCAGCAACTTTCTGCTGTTAAACACCAAAGTTATTGTTCATGACCCCTCAGTTAGTCTAGCTGGCGTTGTCCTCAAGCTCCATCCTCCTCACCTACAACGCCCTTAATGGACCATCATATCTTAAAGAGCTGATACCTCCCCCTTCCCTCTCTCATGTTTAAGAATATGTGTGAAGACTTTAATACCAGCTGTTGGTTTCAGTCAGTATTTACTAAGACTTTAGTTCCAAGTGTCAGTCTCTCTTTCTTCTTCTGTTATGAATGATGAAGATGAAATAACTCAGGTGCATTCCTCCAGGTCACCTGTCCCGGTGAGCAGGACTGTTGTTGTGTTAGTGTCGGTGTTGAGCGGCGGTGTGCCGGTTGCTCTCACCTATCAGGAGGCTGGCTGTGAGCTGGTAGAAGCCAGAGACGGGTGCTGTGTATCGGCCGGTGCTGGTGTTGAAGCTCTGACCCCTCTGGAGGCTCTGCTCGGAGTCTGAGGGCTGCAGGGGTCAAAGGTCAAACACAGGAAGCAGTTAAAGGAAAGATCCTGTAGATCTCCTCCCGGTGCAGAACAGTCACAGTGATGGAGAACAAACCCACTGATGTGGTGTCAGGTTTATCTAAAGCTCATGTGAGACCTGAGCCTGAAGTGGCTTTCACTCTTTTTAACATTAAATTTAATAATAATAAAAATGATAATAATCTAATTAGCTAACTTTAAATGGATTTATCATCTTGTTAACTACCTTTTTAAATTTGTCTTTTTATTAGTTTTTCTGTTGAATATTTAAAGTTCAAGACAGTCAATGAGTCATCGTCATTAAATATGAAATATATCTATCATGCACTATACATACATATGATGTGTGTGTGTCACCTTGCTGAAGGACTGCAGCTCCAGCAGGCTGCGGCGTGGGATGATGACAGGCTGCAGGAGGCGACTCAGGAAGGAGGTGGAGACACGAGGAGGACGATCACACAGCAGACACACTCCTCCTGCCATGTCTGGTGGGGGGGAAGGAGCAGGGGAGGAGGGAGGAGGAGGGGGGGGAGAAGAGACAGATTGATTGTTTGGATCAAGTTGTTTTGAAAAATGATTTCATGAGGAAAAATGACTCTGTGTGTGTGTGTTGGCGTGCTGCCTGCTCAGCACAGAGACGTAAACACACACATTTGCAGAAAGTGTGTGTGTGTGTGTGTGTGTGTGTGTGTGTGTGTGTGTGTGTGGCGCCACACTGCTTGGAAAACAGTCCTGCTGCGGTCAGACTGCAGACGTCTGACTTCAGCTGCACAGGACTCCTTCACGTCTGAACTCACAGCTTCACCCTGTTTATTAACTCTCTCTCTGACAGAGCGCCCCCTGCTGGCCGGAGTCTCCACCCACCATCAGCCCTGGAGCTGAGAGCTCAGATCTCACCCTGCTCTACCTGCAGACTGCTGTGGTGTCTGCTGGGGAGGAGGGAGTTAAGTTGGTGCGTGACTTGACACATGTTTATCACAGTCATTGTGGCATCAGTCCGTCTGGTTCAGTCTTCAGATCTGTTCTCACTTCTAGCTGCTGGAATAAAAACTGAACTCTTTCAAACACACAGCTGCAAAATATGGAAACACGTGTAGAGAAAAACTGATGGAGGAAAACAAGGAGCATGCATGAACGAACAAATTCACTCTCTGACACACACACACACACACACACACACACACAAATGTGCAGAAAGTAACAAAGACACACCATCAGTCAGCAGGTATGTCAGGAATCCTGCAGCTGAGCCAAGTCACATCCACGCTCCACAAAATTACCCCTATTAAGGACTCAGACAGCCTGCCTCCACACACACACACACACACACACACACACACACACACACACACACACAGCTCTGTATTTATATAACCTACATACAGAAACAGAGTGAAAGTGAAATATTGGAGCTGGACAAATCATGTGAAAACTAAAGTGAATGCAGACAGGCTTCTGTCTGGTCCAGGTCCTGACTCCAGTCTGTGGTAGCTAAGTGTAGTAACCATAGTAACCAGTGTTCTGCTGTTGTCGGATCAGGACCTGGAGATTTCAACATGTTTCCATCTGTAGTGAAAACAACCAGGACGCCTGTGATCTGTCAGGAAGATGTGTCCAGGACCATTAGCCTAGCTTAGCACAAAGGCTGGAACCAGGTTGAAACTGTTAGCATAGGTTAGCACAAACACTGAAAACGGGGAAACTGTTAGCATAGCGTGGTCAGAGAATCTGGAGTGAACCTGGTCTCGGTCTGTGTGATTAGTGAACTCTCACCTCTCAGTTTTAGCTGCAGCTCCTGGATGAGCTCCTGTTGTTGGGGCAGGAGGGGGGCGGGGGGGCCCTGAGGCCCCTGTGGTCCTGGAGGTCCTGGAGGGCCTGGAAGACCATGCTGCAGATAGGCATAAACATTTACAGGTGTGTTTCTGTCTACAGCCAGATGTGGATTAGAAACTCAGGAACGTGTCAGCAGATTTAGATTTTTCAGGAGTAGAAATGTTGTTTGGACAAGTTGAGCTTCACGCTGTCAAAGAGTTTGTTTTATTATCAGTTAATCTGCTGATTCTTCTCTGTTCATTCAACGTCATTCATTGAGTCAGTGTCAGAAAACAGTGATACACTCTGTTTCCTGGTTTGATCAAACCAACAGTCTAAAACATTGAGATGTAAAGTATTTAATGTACTGTTAGACTAATTGTTGCAGCTCATACAGGACTGTCCTCTGGTCACATTCAGTCAGTCACATCCTGACTCCACCATATGTTTTTATTCCTCCGCGTCTGCGACAGTCAGAGCAGCAGCCATTTTGTTTTCAGCTTGTCCGTCCGTCTCCTTCTCGTTGAAACCATACCTCAGAAACACCTTCATGAAACTTCTTTACATTTGGGACGTTCACTTGAACTCAAGGATGAACACAAAACACTTTCAACCAAACTCAAGACTTCTCAGTAATTATGACAAACTTTCACACCAATGGTTCATATTTTCTATGACTGTGGATAAACAGGGACGTGACCTGGAACTAGTCTGAGTGGCGGAGGCTGTAATTCTAGTTATTATATATGTTTCTCTTCAGGTGGAGGTGTGTCTGACCTTGGAGGTTCTCCTGGACCCTTTGGTTCTCCGGTTGTCCCCCTTGTTGGAGTTTCTTCTAAAGATGAGCCAGGAGCTGAGAGGAGACACTCTGGACAGGTCGGAGGACGCCGACTCCTGGAATAACAACAGAACCGGTTTCACACGGTCAGTGTACAACATGTTAACTTTAGCTCAGGGTCTGTTAACCTGCAGTAACCATAGCAACAGTGATGATGCTTCAGATAGCTGACTGGTGACTAACTTAACCAAAGGTTAAACTGACCACAACAAATTTAACAGTGAATGTCTCATTGTGTTTTCTCTTCAGATTGAACTGAAAGTTGAATTTCCATCATCACGTCTGGGATGTAAATCTCATCATTAAGTTATTAAGTGTAGTAACCATAGTAACCAGTGTTCTGCTGTTGTCGGATATGGACCTGGAGATTCCAACATGTTTCCATCTGTAGTGAAAACAACCAGGACGCCTGTGATCTGTCAGGAAGATGTGTCCAGGACCATTAGCCTAGCTTAGCACAAAGACTAGAAGCAGAGGGAAACTGTTAGCATAGCTTAACACAGACTTGAAGGAAGGGGAAACTGTTAGCATAGCTTAGCACAGACTGGAAGCGGGGGAAACTGTTAGCATAACTTAGTACAAAGGCTAGAATCAGGGGGAAACTCTTAGCATAGCTTAGCACAACGTCTGAGTGACTTAGTGTTGATGTTACAGGTCTGTGACACTGTACTTCAGTGGAGACGTGACGGAGTCATAAGGAATCAAACATGAGTCTAGTTATTGTGTAACTGTAGGTCTGCAAGCTGCTGCTGTCTTCATCATCAATGTTCCAGTATTTATTTATTGATTGATTGATTGTTTGCTCCATAAAATAGCAAAAACAAATCTGAAAAAGACAGTTTACTGAAGGAGACGCCTTCAACAGATGAAACAACTTCATTCACTGTGACTCAGAACAGACTTTAAAGCAGCTGAAACAAAGACTACGGTGGCCCTGAGGGCTCAACACATCACAACTTCAGAAAACATCTTCAACAATCTGACAACACATAAGCTGCAAATACTCACAAAACAACAGCAGGACACAAAAAAGTGTTATGAAGACAGCTAGTCGGCTCCTCGTTAGCAGTGTTGGAAAACAAGCTCAAGGTGAGTTTGTTTATTACATCGTCAATATCACATGATTCAGATATAATTGAAGCTGTTAGCCGTTAGCTTAGCCTTTGGGTACCCTGGAAACACTTTTCCAGGGTAGTTGTTGTGAGTATTTGCAGATTGATGAAGATGCTTTCTGAAGTTGTTTGTGTTTGTGCTTTGAGCCCTCAGGGCCACCGTAGAAGACTTAGATTATTATTGATTGATCAGGATATCAGATGGTTAATGTTCAGATTAATGATAGTTTCAGTGTTTGAGACTTTTCCAGTCAGTGTCACGATGGTCGTGTCCAGCAGGTTGGTAAATATGACGTCAGAGAACTGGATTCACCAGCTCATTAAAAACAGAATCCAGAGATGTTCAGAAAACATCTTCAACCATTAATCAATTATCAGAATATGTGACTGACTGAGTAAGACAGTCTGATGTATAAATTAATGATTGATTGATCAGTTGATTGATCAGCAGCCGGATCTGCTTCCTGTTCCCTCCTGATGTGGAGACGTGCAGGAGCATCTGAGCATCTGAACAGGTGAGGTTGTTTTCTTACCAGGATCTCGGTGCTGACGGCCTCGTCCTCATCCAGCATCTCCTGACTCTCTTCACTCTCTACGTCATCGACGCTCGCCGCCTCCACTACCACCGCCGTCATCATCATCATCATCATCAATCCTAGGAGCACAGGGAGCAGCAGCAGCCCTCCTGCCCCACCTGGAGAGCTCCTTCCCTGGGATAACCTGAGCAGCATGCTGGGCGGGTGTGGGAGAGGTGGAACCAGAGGACGAAGGCGTTCAGGTCTGCGTCTGTATGGACCTAAGATGTTCCCATGATGCACCTCTGTAGGTCTGCTCCTCTTACATCAGCTGAGCCTGTGTTCAGTGGGTATGTTGAACGTCTCATGTGATGACCTTTGACACCAAGCTCTCCTCCTGAAATCTCCCCCTGTGACGTCTTTTCTTCACCTCCTGCGGCCTCCTCCTCTCTCTCCAGACGTAAACACAGAGTCTTTGAGGGAGGTTTCTCTCCGTGGGTCTCGTGCTTCCTCCTCCTCCTCTTTTTCCAGCTCTTCCTCTCTTGTGTTTCAGCGCAGACTCCTTCCTCCTGGAGCCTGTTTTTCTCCTCTGCTCTTCCTCTCTGCTGAGCCCCTTTTATCTGCCTCCCTGCTCCCTGACTCCTCCTCCTCTTCCTCAGCTCCTCCCCCTCCCACTCTTTCTGTTCCTTCCTTTCTTCTCTCTATCTGTCTGTGGATCTGAAGCTGTCACTCCGTCTGTCTGCAGTCTTTTCCTTAATGTCTCCCCAGCGTCCGTCTGTCTCTCTCTCTGTTTTATCTCTTTTCCCATCGTTTGTCTTTCTTTGCCTCCAGACTTTGTTTTTCTTCTTCTTTTCACCCCCTCCCTCGTCCTCCTCCTCCTCCAAGTTTCTTCTCCTCATGCTACAGCTGTAAAATGAATCAGATATATGACCATATATCTGCAGATTATTAATTATTTGCTGTCTACTCTATGTCCATGTGTAAAGCTGATAAACACTGAGGATATTTTGTGTTTATATTAATTATAACCAAATATCTCCCAGAAACATTTTAATATGGGTGTAACGTGTCATTAAACTGTCACAGCTCCTCTTTTATTTCATCCTGCAGCTGATTTGAACTGAGACAACAAGATAATTACAGTTTCAAGTATTTTGCAGATCAGATATTTCCTGTGATGTGTCGTTGTCTCTGTGAGCTGCGCATGTTGAAGATGTTTTCTAACCTCCTGTCTTTTCCTTTATTTAACAGGTGAAAGTGTCGGTGAGATGGAGATGTCTGAGCAGCAGGAGTCAGACCTGAGTGTGTTTGTATCACTTCTTTAAGAGGTTTTCACTCAGGTGTGTTGTTGTTAGTTTCATATCCATGTCTGTCTTCAACTCTGGACCTTAAACAGGTTTTAACCACGTCCTTGTCCCTCTGTAAAACACAAGAAAAACACAGATTAAAACACAGATTAAAACACAGATTAAAACAGGTAAAAACACAGGTAAAAACACAGGTAAAACACAGATTAAAACAGGTAAAAACACAGGTTATAACACAGGTAAAACACAGATTAAAACACAGGTAAAACACAGATTAAAACACAGATTAAAACACAGGTAAAACACAGATTAAAACACAGATTAAAACACAGATAAAAACACAGGTAAAAACACAGGTAAAAACACAGGTTAAAACACAGGTAAAACACATGTAAAACAGGTTAAAACAGATTAAAACACAGATTAAAACACAGATTAAAACACAGATTAAAACACAGATAAAACACAGATTAAAACACAGATTAAAACACAGATAAAACACAGATTAAAACACAGATTAAAACACAGATAAAACACAGATTAAAACACAGATTAAAACACAGATAAAACACAGATTAAAACACAGATTAAAACACAGATAAAACACAGATTAAAACACAGATTAAAACACAGATAAAACACAGATTAAAACACAGATTAAAACACAGATAAAACACAGATTAAAACACAGATTAAAACACAGATAAAACACAGATTAAAACACAGATTAAAACACAGATAAAACACAGATTAAAACACAGATTAAAACACAGATAAAACACAGATTAAAACACAGATTAAAACACAGATAAAACACAGATTAAAACACAGATTAAAACACAGATAAAACACAGATTAAAACACAGATTAAAACACAGATAAAACACAGATTAAAACACAGATTAAAACACAGATAAAACACAGATTAAAACACAGATTAAAACACAGATAAAACACAGATTAAAACACAGATTAAAACACAGATAAAACACAGATTAAAACACAGATTAAAACACAGATAAAACACAGATTAAAACACAGATTAAAACACAGATAAAACACAGATTAAAACACAGATTAAAACACAGATAAAACACAGATTAAAACACAGATTAAAACACAGATAAAACACAGATTAAAACACAGATTAAAACACAGATAAAACACAGATTAAAACACAGATTAAAACACAGATAAAACACAGATTAAAACACAGATTAAAACACAGATAAAACACAGATTAAAACACAGATTAAAACACAGATAAAACACAGATTAAAACACAGATTAAAACACAGATAAAACACAGATTAAAACACAGATTAAAACACAGATAAAACACAGATTAAAACACAGATTAAAACACAGATAAAACACAGATTAAAACACAGATTAAAACACAGATAAAACACAGATTAAAACACAGATTAAAACACAGGTAAAACACAGATTAAAACACAGGAAAAACACAGGTTAAACACAGGTAAAAACAGGTTAAAACACAGGTTAAAACTAAGGTAAAACACAGGTTAAAACACAGGTAAAACACAGATTAAAACACAGGAAAAAACAGGTTAAAACACAGGTTAGAACTAAGGTAAAACACAGGTTAAAACACAGGTAAAACACAGGTTAAACACAGGTAAAAAAAAACAGATTAAAACACAGGTTAAAACAAAGGTAAAACACAGATAAAAACACAGGTTAAACAACACAGGTAAAAAACAGGTTAAAACACAGATAAAACACAGGTTAAAACACAGGTTAAAACACAGGTTAAAACACAGGTTTAAACACAGGTTAAAACACAGGTAAAACAGGTTAAACACAGGTTAAAACACAGGTAAAACAAAGGTTAAACACAGGTTAAAACACAGGTTAAACACAGATTAAAACACAGGTAAAACAGTTTAAAACACAGGTAAAGCACAGGTTAAAACACAGGTAAAACACAGTAAAAACACAGGTAAAACACAGATTAAAACACAGGTAAAAACACAGATTAAAACACAGGTAAAACACAGATTTAAACACAGATTAAAACACAGGTAAAAACACAAGTAAAACACAGGTTAAACAGGTTAAAACAGGTAAAACAAGGGTTAAACACAGGTAAAACACAGGTTAAACACAGGTTAAAACACAGGTAAAACAAAGGTTAAACACAGATTAAAACAGGGAAAAACACAGGTAAAAACAGATTAAAACAGAAAAACACAGGTAAAACAAAGGTAAAACACAGTTAAAACAGGTTAAAACAGGTAAAAACATAGGTAAAACAAAGGTTAAACAGGTTAAAACACAGGTTAAACACAGATTAAAACGGAAAAACAGGTAAAACACAGTTAAAACAGGGAAAAACACAGGTAAAACAAAGGTAAAACACAGGTAAAAACACAGGTAAGACACAGGTTAAACACAGATTAAAACAGATAAAAACACAGGTAAAACTGTAGTGGTAGTGTATATTTATGATTCTAACAGTATTTAAAAACATGGTGGATCAGTGTTTGTTGTAGTTCTGTCTTTATGATGACAGAACTATCACAACAGTTTAGCTGGAAACACAAACACACACACACACCCTCCTCCCTGTCAGATAAGGTGGGTGTGGCTTCAGTCTGACAGGATGATGAAAGTTAGTTTGGTTGTTGGCGTCTGTGATGAAACAACAGCGACCGTTTCCTCTGAATCTGACTGAAGCTGATAGAGACACACACACATACACCCCTCACACAAACACACACACACACATCCACCCATTGCAGTATTAATAAATCACTCCGTGTTCATGTCAGAGAAACACTGATGTTGTTCAGAGGAAACTTCACATAAACTTATTGTAACTGTAATTTCCACTGGAACATCTTCACCATCAGTTTAAAAACTGTGAAGAGCCGAAGACATCCACCCCGACTCCTCCGGTACCACTGACACTAAAGACCCCGACTCCTCCGGTACCACTGACAGTAAAGACCCCGACTCCTCCGGTACCACTGACACTAAAGACCCCGACTCCTCCGGTAACACTGACACTAAAGACCCCGACTCCTCACTGAATGTTCCCTCACTGGATAAAGAGTGTTTCAGTGAAGCATCAGATCATTAGCAGGAGGTTAATGCAGCTGCTTAATCAGCTCAGTGGTTAAAAACAGCCTCTAATCTCTTTGTTTTATGTCCTCATGTAAATATAACTCAGTCAGTCAAACTGCTTCATATCCACTCTCATTATTTCATGACAGTTTTAAACAGATAGAGACGTCTTTGTCTCAGTGGTGCCCCCTACAGTTAATCTGAAACAGCAAAAATTTAAAAACCTCAGATTAAACACAAGATTTTAAAATATGCAAATTAGGCCAAACACACGTGGTGTCTACAGACCTGGTCTTAACTCCACCCCCCCATTTATTTATTATGTAGTGCAGTGTGTGAGAAGGAACAGTGTCGTAGAAAGAAAATAATAATAATATTCATAATATATCTATATCAATCTATATAGATATAGATATATATACATATATAATATCAAAGATAATGTTATTGAAAATCAAAAACTAAATAAACCTGTAATAAAACACACACAAACCTGCAGGTTGTTGAAGCTGCAGGTGTGACAGGTGAAGCAGCTCTAAGTCCTGCTAAGAGGATCTGTCTGCACACACACACACACACACACACACACACACACAGTGTAAGCTGAGCTTTGCGTGCTGATGATGAGTTCAGTTGTCGTGTCTCTGATGTTGTCAGTGTGTTGAACAGAGGGATGATGGGAGCTGACGGCGACATGATGGGGACGAACCCAGAAAACACAACTGACCTCTGAACCCGGGAGACACACTGAACACGGTAAATACACGATAACACTGTGTGTGTGTGTGTGTGTGTGTGTGTGTGTTAGAGACAGTCAGCTGTGACTGAGTGTTCATCTGTAGATTAACACAGTTTGCTTTTGTGTTAATATTTGCTAATATAAACCTGTCTGTGTGTGTGTGTGTGTGTAGGTGTCATGGATGCCGAGGATCCATCTCCTCTGCGGCGTTTTGTTGTAGCGAAGCGTTCGATCACCTCCATCTTTGATCAGCTGCTGGATTTTGTGAAAGACGGCTCTGCCTTTGTGGACGGTCAGAAACACACACACACACACACTGTACACACTTGTTGCTCAGGTGTGTGTAGGTGTAAGGAGGAGATGAGTTGGCAGCCAGGTGAAAGTGGACAGTGACTCCATCACTGCGACCAGCTGGAGGACGTTGTGTTC